TATGTATTGAGCCGACAAATTATTCCGTTTAGAAATCTGACGTCATATTTACAGCTATGTATTGTGCTGACAAATTGCTCCGTTTAGAAATCTGACGTCATATTTACAGCTGTGTATTGTGCTGACAAATTGTTCTCTGTTTAGAAATCTGACGTCGTATTTACAGCTATGTGTTGAGCTGACGAATTGTTCTCTGTTTAGAAATCTGACGTCGTATTTACAGCTATGTGTTGAGCTGACGAATTGTTCTCTGTTTAGAAATCTGACGTCGTATTTACAGCTATGTGTTGAGCTGACAAATTGTTCTCTGTTTAGAAATCTGACGTCGTATTTACAGCTATGTGTTGAGCTGACGAATTGTTCTCTGTTTATAAATCTGACGTCGTATTTACAGCTATGTGTTGAGCTGACGAATTGTTCTCTGTTTATAAATCTGACGTCGTATTTACAGCTATGTGTTGAGCTGACGAATTGTTCTCTGTTTAGAAATCTGACGTCGTATTTACAGCTATGTGTTGAGCTGACAAATTGTTCTCTGTTTATAAATCTGACGTCGTATTTACAGCTATGTGTTGAGCTGACGAATTGTTCTCTGTTTATAAATCTGACGTCGTATTTACAGCTATGTGTTGAGCTGACAAATTGTTCTCTGTTTAGAAATCTGACGTCGTATTTACAGCTATGTGTTGAGCTGACGAATTGTTCTCTGTTTAGAAATCTGACGTCGTATTTACAGCTATGTGTTGAGCTGACGAATTGTTCTCTGTTTAGAAATCTGACGTCGTATTTACAGCTATGTGTTGAGCTGACGAATTGTTCTCTGTTTAGAAATCTGACGTCGTATTTACAGCTATGTGTTGAGCTGACGAATTGTTCTCTGTTTAGAAATCTGACGTCGTATTTACAGCTATGTGTTGAGCTGACGAATTGTTCTCTGTTTAGAAATCTGACGTCGTATTTACAGCTATGTGTTGAGCTGACGAATTGTTCTCTGTTTATAAATCTGACGTCGTATTTACAGCTATGTGTTGAGCTGACGAATTGTTCTCTGTTTAGAAATCTGACGTCGTATTTACAGCTATGTGTTGAGCTGACGAATTGTTCTCTGTTTAGAAATCTGACGTCGTATTTACAGCTATGTGTTGAGCTGACGAATTGTTCTCTGTTTAGAAATCTGACGTCTTATTTACAGTATGGTCCGCTATTCACATGTGTGAAGAAGAAAATTGGCTGATTTTATTCGGGAGTGTTTTGGGCGTAACAAGTTAACATTGAATACACATTCTATCATTGCACCATGAACATTCTTACGAAATAATGACGTCAAAAATCGGCTGATACACTTGTTAAATTAGAACTGGCTATAAATATAGGTGTCAGTTTGGAATTTTTAGAGAGAAAACCCGTTAAGATTTATAAAGATCTGATTTGAGATACATTAATTCCTGTCGATCGTAATCACATCTCAGTACAGAATTTCAGCCAGCGATGCGGTATAACCAGTCCCGATTTACATACAGCTATGCCTAGAACAGCAATGTGAGATTTTAGATACTATGATTAAAAAACAACCTGATATGAGGATGATGAAAATTTACGAGATGCTCAGCCCTATCAATCCTTGAACTAGGTTATATAGTGATAATTAAGACATCTCTTACAAGATTGCATCAACAGTTTTACTTATAAATAGCTCCAAACGTACCAAAAAAAATGGTATGGAGGTTTGATGGACGGTCACCTCCAAACGTACCAAAAAAATGGTATGGAGGGTGATGGACGGTCACCTTCAAACGTACCAAAAAAATGGTATGGAGGGTGATGGACGGTCACCTCCAAACGTACCAAAAAAATGGTATGGAGGGTGATGGACGGTCACCTCCAAACGTACCAAAAAAATGGTATGGAGGGTGATGGACGGTCACCTTCAAACGTACCAAAAAATGGTATGGAGGGTGATGGACGGTCACCTTCAAACGTACCAAAAAAATGGTATGGAGGGTGATGGACGGTCACCTCCAAACGTACCAAAAAAAATGGTATGGAGGGTGATGGACGGTCACCTTCAAACGTACCAAAAAATGGTATGGAGGGTGATGGACGGTCACCTCCAAACGTACCAAAAAATGGTATGGAGGGTGATGGACGGTCACATTCAAACGTACCAAAAAAATGATATGGAGGGTGATGGACGGTCACCTTCAAACGTACCAAAAAAATGGTATGGAGGGTGATGGACGGTCACCTCCAAACGTACCAAAAAATGGTATGGAGGGTGATGGACGGTCACCTCCAAACGTACCACAAAAATGGTATGGAGGGTGATGGACGGTCACCTTCAAACGTACTAAAAATGGTATGGAGGGTGATGGACGGTCACCTCCAAATGTTACTAAATTGCAACATATTCCGTTTTTAAATGTTACTATTATAATTCACTAATAGTGTATGCTAGGAATAATTTGTGAGCACATGGCTAGTAAAGAAACTTACCATAGGCATTAGTTTTGAGACTAAATATACGATGGTCGATATTCAGATATGAACGCATACCTTCGTTCTGACTTGTCCTATCTTGTTAGTTACAAGTGTACTGAGCTGTGATATTAAGCGAAAGTATTGCGTGTCATCGAAGATAGTGTCTTCATGAACAAGTATATCAATGCTATGATATTCCAAACCCACACATTCTAATTACTCACGATAGTGTTAACACAATAAATGACCTTATCATATATCTTACTTATTATCAGTTTGATACACTCATTACATAGATTTGTGTTATTACACATGTGGAATATGACTAAGACGAGTTGTGATTGGCTAAATGTTCCTATTGATTCCGTTGTGACGTCATATCATCATTATGTGATACTCATCAGCAACTAGAGAGCGAAATAGAGTGACAATATCTCTACGTTATATTGTGTATCAGTCTGCTGCACCTCCCCGTCTAGATTTTGACTTTTCTTTTTATCACTTGGGATTTTCCTTAGACTCCTCCAAGGCTTCATATTTAGGCCCTTAGCATTACTGACTAGTTCTAGAAGGACGAAACAGCTGTATGATGTAGCATCACTGACTAGTTCTAGAAGGACGAAACAGCTGTATGATGTAGCATCACTGACTAGTTCTAGAAGGACGAAACAGCTGTATGATGTAGCATCACTGACTAGTTCTAGAAGGACGAAACAGCTGTATGATGTAGCATCGCTGACTAGTTCTAGAAGGACGAAACAGCTGTATGATGTAGCATCACTGACTAGTTCTAGAAGGACGAAACAGCTGTATGATGCAGTTTAATTCATTGTTAAGCTCTACTGTATCCCACCCTAAATTAAGAAAAAAGTGCTTTCCACTTGTGTGTCCTTGAACAATCTTATATTATGCTATTTTTAAAACAAATAGTTTCCAATGTATGTTATGTAATAAACAGATCGTCTTACTTGTCACGAAGTTTGTTTGTTGTTTCACCTCGTTGCCTAAATCTATATGAATGGAAACCCATGACAGATCCATCATATCTAAAATATGAATTTACATCAGTCCAAACGAACTTAAAATATTCTAGTACAGTCAACAAACACTCAATATTTTTCTTTCTCGTCGGGTAACGATTTGCCTATCTCTTGCTTAGAGGGCGAAATATTCCAGTTATTTTTCCACTTTCGGGAAGAATCGTCCCATCTTGTAGAGCTTCGCCATTTGAACCCCCGAGGCACAGATGATTTTCTATCCTTTGTGCTAGCATGGTGTAGAGTTGAAAACCATTCTGCTGTAAATAATATTGGTTTTAAGAAAACATTCAAACAAATATTGTCACGAAATGCGAGTGAATTTTCTTTTATTTCTAATGAATGCACAGGGATACCAGCCATGTGTCTCGTACCTATATCTGTTTACATTTAACATATATATACACTCTTTGTATACACATAACTATCCACAACGATTGGCCCGTGTTATCACGTGGTGGCTCACAATGTATATCTGATATGCATTCTACATAGGTAATGTTCAACATGCTCACGAGTCCAAATATGATATTATTTAAATGATATGTGAAGGAATATATTCAATATAAGGTGATATCAGTAAAACTATTGGATTTATCCTGAGGTATGAATTGCGACTAAATTTACACTTCGTTTTCCACGTCGTCCTAGTGACCGTTACGTGACAGTAACGGACAACTTATGACCAATAGTATTGTCTCGTCGTTCTACAACGATGGCGGTTACATGTCTCTGACAGACGGAAAGCAGTATATTTAATAACACTGGTACGTTTGTTAATGGTCCATCACAAAACATCACAAACGTCGAGACTTCGTACAACATCAACTGATTCCATTGACATGAGATGTCCAAAGCGCCTTGTGGTTCTCACCACACATTTTTAATTAATCCGTGATCCCTTATGAGTCCAGTGTCACCGGTTACGAAAACACCACAGGAGACGGTATAACAGTAGCTATCACAACGTAAATATGTTCAGGGGGAACGATTTCCTCACAACGTAAACATGTTCAGGGGGAACGATTTCCTCACAACGTAAACATGTTCAGGGGGAACGATTTCCTCACAACGTAAACATGTTCAGGGGGAACGATTTCCTCACAACGTAAACATGTTCAGGGGAACGATTTCCTCACAACGTAAACATGTTCAGGGGGAACGATTTCCTCACAACGTAAACATGTTCAGGGGGAACGATTTCCTCACAACGTAAACATGTTCAGGGCAACGATTTCCTCACAACGTAAACATATTCAGGGGGAACGATTTCCTCACAACGTAAACATGTTCAGGGGAACGATTTCCTCACAACGTAAACATGTTCAGGGGGAACGATTTCCTCACAACGTAAACATGTTCAGGGCAACGATTTCCATTACGAGACTTGTCCCACAGTATCTTCACTTTGTAAACACAACTAGTTAATCGGCTACGTTGAAAATTGTTATAGTACTTGAGTAGCGATATGTCTGATAACGCGTCTTAGATGGAAATCCAGTGCTCTTTCTGAAAACAAAAACCTTTCATCACTATTTACATTGATTTATTTCCAGCGCGTGTATACAATAATGTAAAAAGTAAATAATGGACCATGAAAATATCTTTCATTATTACTGTATAGTCTTCTATAAATATTATATTACTTACAGTAAAACTTCAAAATGACGATTTGTAAACATTATGTCTTTTTCATATTTGTAAAATGGATAATTAGCTACAACTGATATGACATATTCACACCAACAAACTATATGACCTTTTGGACATTACCTTGAAACGCCGAACAACGCCTGTTCTCTGTATGAGGGCGTGCTCTCTTGTCGGAGATATACAAAGTGCCAACCTCTGAAAGTACATATGGAGGGAAGATACGGGATGAAAATCGTATCTCTATCTCATTGCTGGATGTATTAAGTGAGATATCCCTACATCCATGGAAATAGACTAGTCAAAAATCGGAATCTAGTTACTTTTGTTTTCAATAAAAGTTTATCGAAAAGTCGAGTAGAACAATTAAAAATGTTATTCAGAGTCGTTATATAAATCAGGGATAAGAAACACGGACATTTAAACAAAATCTTACTTGGAATTCAAATCAATGGAACGAGGGCAAAGTATTAAATTGAAATCTTAACAAAAGGGTACAAAGAATATACCAATAGGTGTTCCTGATAGAAAACAACTAAATCACGAGCATCGAAAACATCTAACTCCACATCGCTGGTTTCCTTTGAAAATGTTGATGTGATGTCCTTAGAAAGCATGTTATCTGCCTTCAGTATTGTACTAACGACAAGTGAATAACACCTTTTAATACAAATTTAGTTTGATACAGTAGAACCAAACAATAAATCCAACTGAATCATACAGATGTTTCGTCAGGGATGCATGTTAAGGGCCTAAACATTGAAGCCTAAAAGGTGATTGATGAAAATCAAAATCAAAAGTGATCGGAAGAAAAGTCAGAGTCTAGATAAGGATATAACGCAGGTTTGTGTAGGTGCAATTTGAATGTAACAATGAGAACGTAGGATGGTCGTCACCATTGCTTAGACAGCTTAGACTTTCAGAACACTGTCTTCCTGCTTTTAATGGTTTCGTCATCATGCTACTCATCTTGGAATGTGACTTTGATTTCAAGCCGATTTTCTTTTTCTTTTTTTTTTAATAACCTGATTTCTGGTTGTAAGATTTATTCTAAATTACAATGAGAATCTTTTTTTTCTGAATTAAACGCCGAATCGCATCCACTTAATTTAATTTGCCTGTTTGTTCCGTTGTTGTATACCCTGTTATCATTTGAGAACGTGACATTACCTTCTTGGATTGACCAAGGTTTACATGGCCGGTGTCGTCGATGAAGCAGTAGACGCTTACTATTCCAGAACACCTGGTCCTATTTATTCTTGTGCTTAATCAAGAGTTTCCGTGTAAATCTGTCTTTTGTTCGGATTTTGCCTAAGCTTTATTGAATTTGAGTTTGGCTTATGATCACATGTTGGCATTTCAGTGCTGTTTTTTTAACCATATACAATGTTAGTTATCGTTATGACCTACTTACACGCTTGAACGACCCCTCAGTCGTGCTGAGCTTGTAGATGGCGTAGAGCGGTATCAGCGCCATCGTCGAGAAGGCGACACTCCATCCTATCGAGTTGGCGTAGGCTGGGTATCTGTACACCCCGCCGCCGCCTTTGTATATCAGCGGGCGGTAATGTAAAAAGCTAGATATCACAAGGATCTGAAATAGCGACAAGTGTGAAAAGTTACATATCACAAGGATCTGATATAGCGACAAGTGTGAAAAGTTACATATCACAAGGATCTGATATAGCGACAAGTGTGAAAAGTTACATATCACAAGGAGGAGAGGATGAAAATAGTAGGCACATAGCAGTCAGGGGATGGACAAAATGAGAATTCAGGAGGAACCATCCATAGGAAGAATGAAAGACAGGAGAGGATGAAAAGTATACAGTCATGGACCAGGAGGAATGAAAGACAGGAGAGGATGAAAAGTATACAGTCATGGACCAGGAGGAGGAATGAAAGACAGGAGAGGATGAAAAGTATGCAGTCATGGACCAGGAGGAATGAAAGACAGGAGAGGATGAAAAGTATACAGTCATGGACCAGGAGGAATGAAAGACAGGAGAGGATGAAAAGTATGCAGTCATGGACCAGGAGGAATGAAAGACAGGAGAGGATGAAAAGTATACAGAGGAGAGGATCAAAGAGTCATGGACCAGGAGGAATGAAAGACAAGGATGAAAAGTATGCAGTCATGGACCAGGAGGAATGAAAGACAGGAGAGGATGAAAAGTATGCAGTCATGGACCAGGAGGAATGAAAGACAGGAGAGGATGAAAAGTATGCAGTCATGGACCAGGAGGAATGAAAGACAGGAAAGGATGAAAAGTATACAGTCATGGACCAGGAGGAATGAAAGACAGGAGAGGATGAAAAGTATGCAGTCATGGACCAGGAGGAATGAAAGACAGGAGAGGATGAAAAGTATGCAGTCATGGACCAGGAGGAATGAAAGACAGGAGAGGATGAAAAGTATGCAGTCATGGACCAGGAGGAATGAAAGACAGGAGAGGATGAAAAGTATGCAGTCATGGACCAGGAGGAATGAAAGACAGAGAAAGAGGATGAAAAGTATGCAGTCATGGACCAGGAGGAATGAAAGACAGGAGAGGATGAAAAGTATGCAGTCATGGACCAGGAGGAATGAAAGACAGGAGAGGATGAAAAGTATGCAGTCATGGACCAGGAGGAATGAAAGACAGGAGAGGATGAAAAGTATGCAGTCATGGACCAGGAGGAATGAAAGACAGAAGAGGATGAAAAGTATGCAGTCATGGACCAGTATGAATGAAAGACAAAAGACGATAAAATTTATGCAGTCGCGAACCAGGAGGAATGAAAGACAGGAGAGGATGAAAAGTATGCAGTCATGGACCAGGAGGAATGAAAGACAGGAGAGGATGAAAAGTATACAGTCATGGACCAGGAGGAATGAAAGACAGGAGAGGATGAAAAGTATGCAGTCATGGACCAGTAGGAATGAAAGACAGGAGAGGATGAAAAGTATGCAGTCATGGACCAGGAGGAATGAAAGACAGGAGAGGATGAAAAGTATGCAGTCATGGACCAGGAGGAAGAAAGAGAGAATGAAAAGACAGGAGAGGAATGAGAAATGAAAAGTATGCAGTCATGGACCAGGAGGAATGAAAGACAGGAGAGGATGAAAAGTATGCAGTCATGGACCAGGAGGAATGAAAGACAGGAGAGGATGAAAAGTATGCAGTCATGGACCAGGAGGAATGAAAGACAGGAGAGGATGAAAAGTATGCAGTCATGGACCAGGAGGAATGAAAGACAGGAGAGGATGAAAAGTATGCAGTCATGGACCAGGAGGAATAAAAGACAGGAGAGGATGAAAATTATGCAGTCATGGACCAGGAGGAATGAAAGACAGGAGAGGATGGAAAGTATGCAGTCATGGACCAGGAGGAATGAAAGACAAGAGACGATCAAATTTATGCAGTCGCGAACCAGTAGGAATAAAAGATAGGAGAGGATGAAAAGTATGCAGTCATGGACCAGGAGGAATGAAAGACAAGAGAGGTTAGAATTTATGCAGTCACGAACCAGGAGGAATGAAAGACAGGAGGGGATGGAAAGTATGCAGTCATGGACCAGGAGGAATGAAAGACAGGAGAGGATGGAAAGTATACAGTCATGGACCAGGAGGAATGAAAGACAAGAGAGGATGAAAAGTATGCAGTCATGGACCAGGAGGAATGAAAGACAGGAGAGAATGAAAAGTATACAGTCATGGACCAGGAGGAATGAAAGACAGGAGAGGATGAAAAGTATGCAGTCACGGACCAGGAGGAATGAAAGACAGACAGGAGAGAAAGACAGGAGAGGATGAAAAGTATGCAGTCATGGACCAGGAGGAATGAAAGACAGGAGAGGATGAAAAGTATGCAGTCATGGACCAGGAGGAATGAAAGACAGGAGAGGATGAAAAGTATGCAGTCATGGAACCAGGAATGAAAGACATGGACCAGGCAGTCATGGACCAGGAGGAATGAAAGATAGGAGAGGATGGAGGGTATGCAGTTACGGACCAGGAGGAATGAAAGACAGAAGAGGAGTGGACCAGGAGGAATGAAAGACAGGAGAGGATGAAAAGTATGCAGTCACGGACCAGGAGGAATGAAAGACAGGAGAGGATGAAAAGTATGCAGTCATGGACCAGGAGGAATCAAAGACAGGAGAGGATGAAAAGTATGCAGTCATAACCAGTAGGAATGAAAGACAGGAGAGGATGAATAGTATGCAGTCATGGACCAGGAGGAATGAAAGACAGGAGAGGATGAAAAGTATGCAGTCATGGACCAGGAGGAATGAAAGACAGGAGAGGATGAAAAGTATGCAGTCATGGACCAGGAGGAATGAAAAGACAGGAGAGGATGAAAGTAGTATGGACAGTGGACCAGAGGAATGCAGTATGCAGGAATGAAAGACAGGAGAGGTTGGACAGTCATGAGAGGAATAAAAGACAGGAGAGGATGAAAAGTATGCAGTCATGGACCAGGAGGAATGAAAGACAGGAGAGGATGAAAAGTATGCAGTCATGGACCAGGAGGAATGAAAGACAGGAGAGGATGAAAAGTATGCAGTCATGGACCAGTAAGAATGAAAGACAGGAGAGGATGAAAAGTATGCAGTCTTGGACCAGGAGGAATTAAAGACAAGAGAGAATGCAAAGTATGTAGTCATGGACCAGGAGGAATGAAAGATAGGAGGTATGTTAGTACGTACAAACAGGAATGTTGGACATAGAATATGGTACGGTATGTTAGTACGTACTAAGAGGACATAGAATATTGTACGGTATGTTAGTACGTACAAACAGGAATGTTGGACATAGAATATGGTACGGTATGTTAGTACGTACTAAGAGGACATAGAATATTGTACGTATAAACAGGATGTTGGACATAGAATATTGTACGGTATGTTAGTACGTACTAAGAGGAATGTTGGACATAGAATATGGTACGGTATGTTAGTACGTACAAACAGGAATGTTGGACATAGAATATGGTACGGTATGTTAGTACGTACAAACAGGAATGTTGGACATAGAATATGGTACGGTATGTTAGTACGTACAAACAGGAATGTTGGACATAGAATATTGTACGGTATGTTAGTACGTACAAACAGGAATGTTGGACATAGAATATTGTACGGTATGTTAGTACGTACAAACAGGAATGTTGGACATAGAATATTGTACGGTATGTTAGTACGTACAAACAGGAATGTTGGACATAGAATATTGTACGGTATGTTAGTACGTACAAACAGGAATGTTGGACATAGAATATTGTACGGTATGTTAGTACGTACTAAGAGGACATAGAATATTGTACGGTATGTTAGTACGTACTAAGAGGATATAGAATATTGTACGGTATGTTAGTACGTACTAAGAGGATATAGAATATTGTACGGTATGTTAGTACGTACTAAGAGGATATAGAATATTGTACGGTATGTTAGTACGTACTAAGAGGATATAGAATATTGTACGGTATGTTAGTACGTACAAAGAGGATATAGAATATTGTACGGTATGTTAGTACGTACTAAGAGGATACAGAATATTGTACGGTATGTTAGTACGTACAAACAGGAATGTTGGATATAGAATATTGTACGGTATGTTAGTACGTACTAAGAGGATATAGAATATTGTACGGTATGTTAGTACGTACTAAGAGGATATAGAATATTGTACGGTATGTTAGTACGTACTAAGAGGATATAGAATATTGTACGGTATGTTAGTACGTACTAAGAGGATATAGAATATTGTACGGTATGTTAGTACGTACTAAGAGGAATGTTGGACAGAGGAATTTCCAGCAGATTCTCCAGTACATTCCCGGTGTGTACCCGGTCATCTGCTTCACATCTCGACAGAACTGGTCCACGCCTGTAACATTACAGATAAGTTGTGTAGATAATGTACATTTAAACTTAGTTTTACATCAATTCAGCAAAACATGCATTTGTAGTTACATATTTGAATTTGGTTTGGTGTCAGGCAGTTGTCAATAGTAACAAATGTTAAACGTTTCGCCAGATTCCGGCCGTGATTAGATAATATTCTAATGTAGTCACTTCTAGATATCAATATAACTTTAAATATGTGACCATTAGCAACACAAATGTGGATCACGAGTACTCGCTGAAGTAAAACTAGTCTCCTGAATACGTAAACGTACCGTACACCCAGGCTACAGCTATCACCTGACATAACACAGCAAACAGTATAGACGTGCCAGCCGCGAATGTATCCAGGATCTTAAACACATACATGCCACCCTGTAAATATAAACAATATATGTTCAACACTTAGTGATTCAATAAGGTTTTAATTCTTCTTGATTCTTTAAACATGTGCTACTGTTCCTATTCTAACTAGGAATATGTGTTTCAAATTTAATATATAAAAGAGATTAAGAAGACAATTATTTTGTATTTTATTTTGAATTTCTAACACTTGGAGAAGTTAGCTTTAAAGTAAACTTGATTGATAATGATGTCACGTGGTTATGTCCTATGGAGTATCGATCTGAACAAATTAAGTTTATATTGATAAATATCATAACGAGAAATGAAATTGAATATACTTACGTTGGTCGTGCAGGGTAGTGAGAAGAAAAAGGCGGTGCACACAATGATGAAGGTGAGAATTTCACGAGACCAGCCGAACCGGATCAAGCGATAAAACTGGTTGCCGAGGCCTGTCAGGGGCGACTCCAGACCACCAAACTATACATAAAAATGTCAACTTCAAATAAGTTACCGAGGCCGGTCAGGGGTGACTTCACACCACCAAACTATACATAAAAATGTCAACTAAAGATAAATTACCGAGGCCGGTCAGGGGTGACTTCACACAACCAAACTATACATTAAAATGTCAACTTAAAACTGGTTACCGAGGCCGGTTAGGGGTGACTCCAAACCACCAAACTATACATTAAAATGTCAACTAAAGATAAATTACCGAGGCCGGTCAGGGGTGACTCCAAACCACCAAACTATACATTAAAATGTCAACTTCAAATAAGTTACCGAGGCCGGTCAGGGGTGACTCCAAACCACCAAACTATACATTAAAATGTCAACTTCAAATAAGTTACCGAGGCCGGTCAGGGGTGACTCCAAACCACCAAACTATACATTAAAATGTCAACTTCAAATAAGTTACCGAGGCCGGTCAGGGGTGACTCCAAACCACCAAACTATACATTAAAAAGGCAACTAAAGATAAATTACCGAGGCCGGTCAGGGGCGACTCCAAACCACCAAACTATACATAAAAATGTCAACTTCAAATAAGTTACCGAGGCCGGTCAGGGGTGACTCCAAACCACCAAACTATACATTAAAATGTCAACTTCAAATATAAATTAAAATGTCGACTTCAAATAAGATACCGAGGCCTGTCAGGGGTGACTCCCAACCACCAAACTATACATTAAAATGTCAACTTCAAATAAGTTACCGAGGCCGGTCAGGGGTGACTCCAAACCACCAAACTATACATAAAAATGTCAACTAAAGATAGATTACCGAGGCCGGTTAGGGTTGACTCCAAACCACCAAACTATACATTAAAATGTCAACTTCAAATAAGTTACCGAGGCCGGTCAGGGGTGACTCCAAACCACCAAACTATACATTAAAATGTCAACTTCAAATAAGATACCGAGGCCATACATTAAAATGTCAACTTCAAATAAGATACCGAGGCCGGTCAGGGGTGACTCCAAACCACCAAACTATACATTAAAATGTCAACTTCAAATAAGTTACCGAGGCCGGTCAGGGGTGACTCCAAACCACCGAAAAGCTAAAAAAAATGGTATAGAATATACAATACAAATTTAGAAAACGATAAATTTTATACACCTGTCTCGTCTTCCTGGGATTCGTCAGTGATGCTAAAGATATAAAAGGCGACTTAGAAAAATCAAAAGTTATGGAATGAAATGTGAAAACCTAATAGCATAAATTCCCTTCCCAAAAATTCTATTGATTTTCATATATATTACCACATTTCAAAACAGGATCTAGTGCATCCATTTCTGTAACCTGTCGCACTTCGAATGAAATAAAACGTGGCAGTTGAGCCAAAGTGTATTTGACCCGTAAGTATATAAATATCGCCATTATCATTTAATCACTTACAGCACTGTCCATACCAAGAGTGACCAGCATGAAGAAGAATATTATAGCCCATGCAGTAGATCCTGGAAGCGTTGCGATGGCCTCTGGGTAGACAATGAATACCAAACCTGGCCCTGTCAATAGCAAAGTACTGAATGTTAAGTTGACGTGAAACAAAATGTTATTTCTAAAGAAAAGTGTCTACATTGGCAAATATAAATGAAAATCACCAAGAAAATACCAACATATCGATATAATCACAATTCAAACTAAGATTCAGTAAAACAAAAACAAAATAGGAAAATACATGGGGAATAAGTACAGTTCCGGAAGAGTAAGCGTCTTCTGCTTCATTGATGCCACCGGCCATGTAAACATTTGTCAGCCTAAGTAAATAATGTCAGGTTCTCAAATAAGAACAAAGCATACAAAAACATGAAATAAGATATCTCGGATTTACGATATAAAAAAAACTGTGTCCGTATTCACTAGAATAACCGATAAGAGTTGGTCAAACAGCAATTTTACAGCTGATTTGAAACTATAAAGAAACGTTATTGGTTACTATGTATTCTGTACACAGTATGTAAGCCGTTTTAGGGAATAACGTATATACCACATACCGTCCTGTGCTACGTCATTAATGTCTTTGTTCTGTCTCGCCGCCATGTAACCGAGGAAGGTGAACACGACGAATCCAGAAAATATGCTGGTGAAACTGTTCACCCCAGCCGTAATGAGACAATCTCTACAACAGATATAGGCATACATAGTAACAAATGTTAGAATACACGAGAATCTGGAAAAAAACACTAGTGAAATTTCTACAACAGGTTTAGTCACGAAGGAACCAAGAGAACATACTGGTTCAACTGTTCACCCCAGACGTAACGAGGTAATCTCTACAGCAGGATTCAGCCCTGTTGATCGTCCCCAATCCAGAAATATATTGGTGACATACATGTAAGGTTGTAAAACTAGAAATTCTAGAATCAATCATTGCGGTCCACGTTAGCATTTTCTGTTTATATGTATAGTACCAGTGTATCTTTATATGTTAGACCAACTGTAACTAACAAAGTATCAATTTTTTTATGTGACAATCTTGCATTTCACCTGGTATAAATGTGGTTTCGTGAAATGCTGTGGGTAAATTTGCGCATTTGCATTTAGCACTGCTACTGGAACTATAGAGAATAGTTTCTTATCCTTTCAATTATAATAAACATATGTGAATCATTTTCCTGAATATATTTCTGAAAGCAAATGTGTTTGCGCTTTTGTTTGAAGTTGTACGACCTTGATGTAACATTGAGTTGATGAAGAATGCGGTGAAAGAAAATAGCCCAACATCGATGAGTGATGCCAGGCTAACAGATAGTTACACACAGCAGTGTGCCGCACACGTTTTCATTTTAAACTTTAACAGATAAGATATGGCGTCTATCTGGGCTAAATCTATCATTCACTATTTCTAAAAGTTTTGACTAGAAAGGAAATAGAAGTTGTGGTTAACCGAAAGGTATCAAAAAGATTATAAGAAAAAAACTACCTGAAAAAATCCAATTGATTCTATAGACGCACCTGAAGCAGTTGTTGTGGAATTTGTTATAGCTGGCATAGGCTATGTGAGTCCCGAAACCTGCACCGATAGAAAAGAAAATCTGCACGGCCGCATCAATCCAGACCTGTAATACAAGATACACGATATAAACGTCCTGTCAGGTTTGAAAGTACAGTAATAGAACTAATGAGGCATTATCACCAAGTTATGGCGATGTTGTTGTATAAGTTTTAGCAGTATTTGTAAATTGTAAACAGGTTTTTCTTCTCACTGTTCACAGTGAAAATTACATGGAACATTGACAGCGTGTTTCTGTTTACAGAAATATCTATAGACTTTGTAGAACCTGATAATATATATATATTAAACACACTGCCGACAGTAAAAAAGACAAAATCTTAAATAAACATTAAATGCAAGATTTTATCTTAGAGTTTCATATGTAATACTGAAGATTGTGACTTGAAATAAAATATAATTAGTTTATAGTAAAACCACTTCATTGATATACAATGTTATATCACTAAAGAAATCAGAAGGTAATTTAAAATAAATTAAGATTGAAGAATACGATCAAGTGTTCCATTCAACAAATTCATTTTAAAATCTCTGTGATTATTTACCAATAACAAAATAGTTTAGATATCGAATTGTATTTTTTGTGTAATCTAAAAATCATTGACTGTAAAAGTCTGTCAATGTCAAATAAAGGTGAATCCATCTAACTAAATATTATCGTGTGTTTATCGGTGTATTGAGGAATAAGTGGGAATACTTCAGATTGATGATTATAAAGGAAGAAGATTTTTTTGATAATGTTCTCTGTGAATGATTACCTTTTCTACAACCAATGGAAGGGTATGTGAGAGCATTGACGAGTAGACAATGTAATGATGATTTAAAACACCTTACACAATATCAATATATCTTATCGTTTATTTTACCAGATCAATAAGTACCACTGATTATTTAAACATATTAATATCGATCATTATTCTTACCTGGACGTTGCCAAGGCGACTGACATTAGGTGTGACAAAGTACTTAATACCGTCGCCAGCTCCCGGAAGTAGAGAACCCCGAATGAGGAGGATGGTCAATATGAGGTAGGGGATGGTGGCTGTAAACCACACGACCTGTGGAATCAACACGTAGCGGTTCTTTATATAAAGGTATTGTTGTCATGGTAACAACGTTGCATTTACAGGAAACTCATACAAAACACAATCATAATCCAAACTCAAATTGAATGAAACTAAGGCACAATATGAACAAAAGGAAGATTTACAAAGAGACTCTAGAAATAGTACAATAGAATATAACCAGGTGTTCCAGAAGCATAAGCGTCTAATGCTTTACCGACGACACCTGCCATGTAAACCTTGGTCAAACCAATTAAGTTATGTCACTTTCGCAAATGACAACAAGTTATGCAACAACGGAAACGAGCATCAAACACGTATTTTCTGATTCATTAAGTTAAATCAAATACTTACCATACAGATATTTTGCAATCATATATAACAATATTTTTTCATACTTGAGAATATTAAGCATGGTTTATATATAAACAAAGAAGTATAGCTCACGGAGTTTAAATGACATCCGTAACAATTAGCCGTGTTTATATAAAGATGAGCATATCATGATATCAAGCTGGGTACATTATCCATGATCGTATTTGTTAAGTGCTTCGACACACAAACCTAAAAGAAAAATATCTAAACACAGAAAATTACATAACTGCTATCATTATTATACTACAAACACTCAAACCCTGTCGATAGAATTTGTTCACCACTGACGTTATGTTCAATCTTATAAAATAACACAGTAGGAATCATTACAGTCTCATCAGATCCGTCACCTGGGTAAAGTCATTATACAATCACTGATAATTTGAATGTTATATATAAATACCACAGAGGAAATAATGTCAGCATTCTGTATAAACACGATATCTTACCATATGCCTAGGTGTTTATTACTAATAAGATTAGTTGTAAATGGCAAGATATTACAGCGTGAAGTAAAATCTTAAAAACGAAGGAATGTTTCAGGCCTTTCTGAAGTATTTGTGTAGAGGTGTAGTGATTCGTAAACAACCTTAGTGATGTTGGTACAGTCTTAGTGATGTCGGTACACAGTCACAACAGTATGGCGTTAGTAATTGATGATCAAATCTTAGTGATGTCAGTACAGTCTTAGTGATGTCGGTAGAGACACAACCGTAGGTCGTTAGTAGTTGGTTATCAAATCTTAGTGATGTCGGTACAGTCTTAGTGATGTCACTACAGTCTTAGTGATGTCGGTACAGTCTTAGTGATGTCGGTACAATCACAACAGTATGGCGTTAGTAGTTGGTTATCAAAACTTAGTGATGTCGGTACAGTCTTAGTGATGTCGGTACAATCTTAGTGATGTCGGTACAGTCGGTACAGTCTTAGTGATGTCGGTACAGTCACAACAGTAGGTCGTTAGTAGTTGGTTATCAAATCTTAGTGATGTCGGTACAGTCTTAGTGATGTCGGTACAGTCTTAGTGATGTCGGTACAGTCACAACGGTAGGTCGTTAGTAGTTGGTTATCAAATCTTAATGATGTCGGTACAGTCTTAGTGATGTCGGTACAGTCTTAGTGATGTCGGTACAGTCGCAACAGTATGGCATTAGTAGTTGGTTATCAAATCTTAGTGATGTCGGTACAGTCTTAGTGATGTCGGTACAGTCTTAGTGATGTCGGTACAGTCACAACAGTATGGCATTAGTAGTTGGTTATCAAATCTAAGTGTTGTCGGTACAGTGTTAGTGATGTCGGTACAGTCACAACAGCAGGTCGTTAGTAGTTGGTTATCAAATCTTAGTGATGTCAGTACAGTCTTAGTGATGTCGGTACAATCTTAGTGATGTCGGTACAGTTTTCTTAGTGATGTCGGTACAGTCTTAGTGATGTCGGTACAGTCGCAACAGTATGGCGTTAGTAATTGATGATCAAATCTTAGTGATGTCAGTACAGTCTTAGTGATGTCGGTACAGACACAACCATAGGTCGTTAGTAGTTGGATGTCAAATCTTAGTGTTGTCGGTACAGTCTTAGTGATGTCGGTACAGTCTTAGTGATGTCGGTACAGTCACAACAGTAGGTCGTTAGTAGTTGGTTATCAAATCTTAGTGATGTCGGTACAGTCTTAGTGATGTCAGTACAGTCTTAGTGATGTCGGTACAGTCTTAGTGATGTCGGTACAATCACAAAAGTAGGTCGTTAGTAGTTGGTTATCAAATCTTAGTGATGTCGGTACAGTCTTAGTGATGTCGGTACAGTCGCAACAGTATGGCATTAGTAGTTGGTTATCAAATCTTAGTGATGACCGTACAGTCTTGGTGATGTCGGTACGGTTACAACAGTAGGTCGTTAGTAGTTGATTATCAAATCTTAGTCATGTCGGTACAGTCTTAGTGATGTCGGTACAGTCACAACAGTATGGCGTTAGTAGTTGGTTATCAAATCAAATCTACAGTCTTAGTGATGTCGGTACAGTCTTAGTGATGTCGGTACAGTCTTAGTTATGTCGGTACAGTCACAACAGTAGGTCGTTAGTAGATGGTTATCAAATCTTAGTGATGTCATTACAGTCTTAGTGATGTCGATACAGACACAACAGTAGGTCGTTAGTAGTTGGTTATCAAATCTTAGTGATGTCGGTACAGACTTAGTGATGTCGGTACAATCTTAGTGATGTCGGTACAGTCACAACAGTATGGCATTAGTAGTTGGTTATCAAATCTTAGTGATGTCGGTACAGTCTTAGTGATGTCGGTACAGTCTTAGTGATGTCGGTACAGACACAACAGTAGGTCGTCAGTAGTTGGTTATCAAATCTTAGTGATGTCGGTACAGTCTTAGTGATGTCGGTACAGACACAACAGTAGGTCGTTAGTATTTGGTTATCAAATCTTAGTGATGTCGGTACAGTCTTAGTGATGTCGGTACAGTCACAACAGTATGGCGTTAGTTGTTGGTTATCAAATCTAAGTGATGTCTGTCAGTCTTAGTGATGTCGGTACAGACACAACAGTATGGCGTTAGTAGTTGGTTATCAAATCTTAGTGATGTCGGTACAGTCTTAGTGATGTCGGTACAATCTTAGTGATGTCGGTACAGTCTTAGTGATGTCGGTACAGACACAACAGTAGGTCGTTAGTATTTGGTTATCAAATCTTAGTGATGTCGGTACAGTCTTAGTGATGTCGGTACAGACACAACAGTAGGTCTTTAGTAGTTGGTTATCAAATCTTAGTGATGTCGGTACAGTCTTGTCAAAACATTATGGCGTTAGTCGTTGGTTATGAAGTCTTAGTGATGTCGGTACAGTCTTAGTGATGTCGGTACACAGTAGGTCGTTAGTAGTTGGTTATCAAATCTTAGTGATGGTTAGTGATGTCGGTACATCTTAGTGATGTCGGTACAGTCTTAGTGATGTCGGTACAGTCTTAGTGATGTCGGTACATCACAGTATGGCGTTAGTATTTGGTTATCAAATCTTAGTGATGTCGGTACAGTCTTAGTGATGTCGGTACAGTCACAACAGTATGGCGTTAGTAGTTGGTTATCAAATCTTAGTGATGTCGGTACAGTCTTGGTGATGTCGGTACGGTTACAACAGTAGGTCGTTAGTAGTTGATTATCAAATCTTAGTAATGTCGGTACAGTCTTAGTGATGTCGGTAAAGTCACAACAGTATGGCATTAGTAGTTGGTTATCAAATCTAAGTGATGTCGGTACAGTCTTAGTGATGTCGGTACAGTCTTAGTGATGTCGGTACAGTCTTAGTTATGTCGGTACAGTCACAACAGTAGGTCGTTAGGTGTTGGGGGTACAATCTTAGTGATGTCGGTACAGTCTTAGTGATGTCAGTAGACGCAACAGTATGGCGTTAGTAGTTGGTTATCAAATCTTAGTGATGTCGGTACAGTCTTAGTGATGTCGGTACAGTCTTAGTGATGTCGGTACAGTCACAACAGTATGGCGTTAGTAGTTGGTTATCAAATCTTAGTGATGTCGGTACAGTCTTAGTGATGTCGGTACAGACACAACAGTAGGTCGTTAGTAGTTGGTTATCAAATCTTAGTGATGTCAGTACAGTCTTAGTGATGTCGGTACAGTCGCAACAGTATGGCGTTAGTAGTTGGTTATCAAATCTTAGTGATGTCGGTACAGTCTTAGTGATGTCGGTAGAGTCTTAGTGATGTCGGTACAGACACAACAGTAGGTCGTTAGTAGTTGGTTATCAAATCTTAGTGATGTCGGTACAGTCTTAGTGATGTCGGTACAATCTTAGTGATCTCGGTACAGTGTTAGTGATGTCGGTACAGTCACAACAGTATGGCGTTAGTTGGTTATCAAAGTTGTGATGTCGTACAATCTTAGTGATGTCGGTACAGTCTTAGTGATGTCGGTACAGTCACAACAGTATGGCGTTAGTAGTTGGTTATCAAATCTTAGTGATGTCGGTACAGTCTTAGTGATGTCGGTACAGTCACAACAGTATGGCGTTAGTTGTTGGTTATCAAATCTTAGTGATGTCGGTACAGTCTTAGTGATGTCGGTACAGATCATCAACAGATGTCGGTACAGTTAGTGTTAGTATGTGGTTATCAAATCTTAGTGATGATGTCGGTACAGTCTTAGTGATGTGTCAGTCTTAGTGATGTCGGTATAATCTCAGTGATGTCGGTACAGCCACAACAGTAGGTCGTTAGTAGTTGGTTATCAAATCTTAGTGATGTCGGTCGGTACAGTCATGTCAACAGTATGGTACAGTTAGTTAGTTGGTTATCGTCTTAGTGATGTTGGTATCAAGTCTTAGTGATGTCGGTACAGTCACAACAGTATGGTCGTCAGGAGTGGGTGAACAAATCTTAGTGATGTCGGTACAGTCTTAGTGATGTCGGTACAGTCTTAGTGATGTCGGTACAGTCACAACAGTATGGCGTTAGTAGTTGGTTATCAAATCTTAGTGATGTCGGTACAGTCTTAGTGATGTCGGTACAATCTTAGTGATGTCGGTACAGTCACAACAGTATGGCATTAGTAGTTGGTTATCAAATCTTAGTGATGTCGGTACAGTCTTAGTGATG